CCTCCCCGGAGCATCCCATGGCTTGGCTCACCGCCCCCCCCGCCGCCTGCCAGCCCCACACGCACACGTCAGGGCTTGGGCGATGAGAAACGGGGCGGATTCGTCCCCCCCCTTGAGCACTTTAAAAGGCTTCCGACTCCAATCACTGCATCAGTGGGATTTACAGCGACAAGCCAGGTCTCAAGATTTTGTTTGGCTAGTCGGCAACTCCAGCCGCGGCGGTGAGCCATCCCCCTGCCCCCCAGCAGCCCGGCGATGCCCTTCGCAGCAAACCTTTCCCTCGTCACACCCCAGTCCAGATTTTGGCGTCAAGCATCGGCACGAGTCGCTCTTTGAAGCGTCGCGCCTGTCTCCTCTTCGACAGCTCGAGCGCATCCCTTCCCCGCCACGGGCCACCTCCCACCACCCTCCTCTGAATCCAGAGCAATTCCACCTCCCATCACCAGCAGGACCGAATTTGCCCTCCCCGAGGTCTCCTCTAAGCTTTGTCTTAAGACTCTAAGCTCGAGTCTCCTCGAGCCAGCTTTGCCGCAACCCGCCAAAGGCCGTTTTGGGGAGCTCCCAGAGAGATGGCAACACTCACATCCAGCTCGAAGGTTTGCAGCACCGTCCGGTATCCCCCGGAGATGGGGGTGAAGAGGCGAAGCACCTCCTTGATGACGCAGTCCAGGTAGTGGAGGCTGCTGATGTTGTCGAGCCGGAGGGAGCCCTCGCAGATGCAGCCGTTGTGGAGGATGCCCTTGCTGCGCAGCTCCTCCCGCAGCTTCTCCAGGACCCGGGGGTGTTTGAGGAGCTGCATGATCAGAGAGGTGCTGGCGCTGGCGGTGGTGGCGTAGGCGGCGAAGATGAGCTCCAGGGTGCCATCCTGAAAGCCAGGAGCAAAGCCAGGGTAAGATGCAGAGGATGGACAGATAGACAGACAGACGGGCCAGCAGCTGTGGCATGTCAAGGGACAGGCACATGGGCTGCCACGGGGCAGGTTTTTTCCTCCCCCAACAGCTCTCCAGCTTGGTCATGTCTAAGGTCTCTCCTTGTGCAGCTCCTGGACGTGCACCACTGGGAGCTTTCCACAGATCCTTGGAGGATGCTGAGGACCAGACAGGCAGGAGGAAAAAAACCCCTGGGGATGTCTCTTGATAGTACACGAAGGACAAGTTACGCCATGACCCTGCTGCATATAACAACCTGCTGAGAGCTCATACGCCCTGCAAAGGAGGCCCCATAAAACTGGATGGGCCGATGGATGAAGCTGGTCAAGGCTGAAAGCTTCAGCAAACTCGTACAGTCTTTTGGTATTCCCTGGAAATGCCTTTTAGAAAGGGCTGAGCGTGATCTGCAAATCAATACGACCCGTAGGAAAGCAACTGGCCGGTTGGCACCAGGACCCACCAGCCCAGAATTCAGCTGCAGCTCCAACAACACCCTGTGGTCCCCCAGCTCTCGCTGATCACCTCAGGTCTGCCCCAAAACACCCACCTTACAGCTTTGCTTTCCGGGGAGCCCCTGCCCTGAGCACAGCCAGGACAAGGTAACCACGGGGAAGACCTTTACCTTCAGCTCCTGCATGGTCAGCTCCTTGCCGTGCTCTTTGCCGCTCTCTATCAGGATGTCCAGCGCATCGGCGTAGTCCTTGCCCTGCGTGTTCTGCAGTTTCTCCTGGATGGCTTTCTCCAGCCCCTTCTGTAGCGTCTCGCGCGCCCGGATGCCCTGTGGAGCACGAAGCCATCAGACCACGCAGGACACAACCCCAGCACCACCATCCCCAGCATCCCCAGGAGCTGGAGATGTGCTCAGGACGACACGTCTAAGTAATACAACTGCAATTGCAGGTGCTCAAAGAGAAGTGTAGGGACGCTGAAGTTGCTCCCTGGGCAGGAGGAGCAAGCCCCGAGCGGGCGAGATGACAGGCAAGAGTAATCAGCACCTACGTGCAAACGACAGGTCTGATGTGGGAGCCCCGCTGCCGCCCCAGTTCACAGGCCTCCAGCTCACCCTGGGCTGCACGGCAGTCCCTGGGAAAATCGTGTCTCAAAGGAAAGTCAAGTCATCCGAAAGGATCCTCTTCCCAGGCGTGTAATGGGCTTCCCGAGCAATTTGATCACCTGCTCTCAGTAAAGCAATTCCCACCCGAGTGCAGCTCGGGGGGGAGGGGGGGGCAGGTTAACCTGCTGCTGCAAATGCTTCGGGGCTGCCAACGGGCTTCGGGCTCATTCACGTGGTTAAATAACAACAGCAAAATTTGCAGTGATAACCACAAAAAAAAAAACCCTTTTAAACCCCCGTATTTCTGTTACCAAAACTCCCCGCTAAAAAAAAAACACAATTTTTTGCCTACAGTTTTTGTTATGTCTTCATTTTGCACCATTCATGAGAAAACCTTGGAATTAGAAGGTCCACTGACCTCTTTCGCCCTGGGGCCAGGAGGGAATGAACAGGAGAAAGGTCCCACAAACAAAAAAATACAGCAAAACTGCCAGTTACAAGCGAGGAAAAATCATGCATTAACACTGGGCAAATCCTGACTGTATTCTCCTTCGCATCTAACCACAGAGTCTCCAGCACTCTAAAACTCTATGGACGGATCTTCCTCTCCACTCCACCGAAACAGGACTTTGCAGCCCAAAATGGACTCATTTCTAGAGGTCAGAGGGTGGGAAGACGTCCCACCAAGAACCTGTAGAGGTGGGCATTAGCTACCACCCCACATCAATCCCAGATCGGTGTTACTGGCTGGTGGAGGACTCAGCCCCAATCTCTTACCCTCCTGTAGCCGCTGAAGGGCAGATCCACGGGCAGCGAGAAGACGTTCTCCACGAACTGCTGGTAGACCTCGAAGAGGCGGTTGAGTTCCTCATCGGGGATGCGGAAGCCCAGCAGAACACGGATGGCCATGCGGAAGGTGAGCTTCTGGGTCTCGTGGTAGACGTTGATGGACTCGGGGTTGCTGCTCCAGGCCCGAAGAGTGTCTTTGATCACCAGCTGGATCTTGGGGAGATAGCTCTCCAGAGCCTCATGGCTGAAGATTTTGGAGAAAACCTACAAAAGAGAGCAAGCAGAGATTGCTACGCAGCCCCAGCACCCTGCTCTTTGCCTTCTCTAGCATCCAGCTTCTGCCTACAAAAATGGGCAGCACAGATTTCCTGCGCTGAGCAGAACATTTGTCATCATCCAGTATCTCCACAATTCCTAAAATAGCCGCCAAAAAGGGTCGATGGAGAAATATCAGCTGACAGATCCTCTACAGGCTGATCCCCACCACAATCATCACGGACGATGGGGCGATAATACATTTTTTTGGTGTCAAGAGGACGGGGCCAGGCTCTTTTCAGTGGTGCCCAGTGACAAACTGGAGCACAGGAGGGTCCACCTCAACATGAGGAAAAACTTCTTTCCATTAAGGGTGGCAGAGCCCTGGAACAGGCTCCAGGGAGGCTGTAGATTCTCCTTCCCTGGAGATATTCAAAACCCGCCTGGATGTGATCCTACATGACCTGCTCTAGGTGACGCTGCTCTGGCAGGGGGTTGGACCAGATGATCTCCAGAGGTCCCTTCCAACCCCTGACCACTCTGTGGTTCTGTAACAACACGGTGCAAACCCGAGATGCGAAGAAACGGATGGAGCCGCCTTTCCCGCAGCGCCACGTCTCACGGCTCCCAGTTACGCTCATCCCACGACTCGGACGCGCCTCTTCCGTGGGGATTCTCTAGCGCCTAACACGACGGCCGCGCACGCACGCAGACACACGCAAGCTTTTCTCTCAACGGGAAGCACTGGCAGCTTCTCCCACCTATCAACCGCCCTGTCTTAATCCACGTAACAAATTAAGCAAAACAATTCATTTGAAGCTTTCGGGATCTCTGTGGAATCTGGCTGAACTCAGGCAGGGGTTCGAGCGGGGAAAGAGAGGCACACACGTACGCAGAGGCTGCGATAGCACGCAGCTCATTTCCTTGGGAAACCGGGCAAAAAAAAACCAAAACCCCTGATGTCAGCAGACAGTATTAATTTAAGCTCCGCGAGTAAACACTGCACGGGAGTGGGCCTCCCCAGGTCCCCGATGCTAACGGCTCCTTCCTCCAATTTGGGCCGGGGCCCGAGCATCGCGCGAGGAGCTCAGCAATGCCAGGAATGTCCCTTCAGCCCTCCCCGGCGCAGCCCACAGCACACGCTTTCATTCGGCATCCCCCGCCGCATCCCTCCCAGCGTGCACCGGAGGGAAAAAAAAGTGCTGTTTGTTTATTTTTTATTAACCTCCACACACACACACACACACACACACACACACGCGGGGCAGCACGCACACACGCCCTGCCACATGCCAGGCCTCTGGGAAAAATGAAATTAAAGCAGGCTCCCAAGGAGGGAGCTCCAACCCCGCGTAGCCTCCACCGGTGGCCGGTTCCCGGGGTGGGGGAGCTCATTGCACGGTGGGGGGGCTGCGAAGTTATCAAACCAACAAGAGGAGAGAAATCAAAGCCGCCCCCTCTTTCCATGAGCGCCGGGCTCGCTGGAGCTGTAAATGTGAGAATTTCCTCCGCAGTCAGCACTCAAAGGGAAAGGTAATATTTTCCTGGCTGCGACCCTTCATGGCTAATGCACATCGTTCGCTGGGAGTTTGTTTGGTGAAATAACACCTCTGTCCCCTCGCAGCCCCGGGCAGGAGGCTCAACAAGAGACACTTCATAACGAGCTGCGCTGGGGCTGAGCCCTGAGTAAAACTCATCACACAATACACGGCGGGGGGGGGGGGGGGGCATA